CCACAGAACCACAGAGCATGGCCTATTACAAGGAAAAGGGGTCCGCTCTGCAAACATTGCTAGTCATGGCAAATCCAAGATGGGAAGGGGAAAGAGACACAGGACGCACCGGTGAGGACAGAGGCAGAGTTTGGAGGAATGGAACCATGAGCCGAGGACTGCTGGGCCTGGAGAACACCTCCAGCAACTGGAAAGCTTCTGAGGTCTCAGGAGAGTGACCTGCGCTCTGGGAGTAAGTGCTTGTGTGACCCCCTCAGGGACGCTTCGCTACAGTGATCCCAAGAGACAAACACAGGAAATCCAGTGCTTCCCCCTCCTCCTCTGAAACCTTCCAAGTGATGGACCTCCATCCACACATTGCTAGGCATTGTCTGAGAAGTTCCCAGGACATGGATGGCAAACTCAGAGTTCCCTGGCCTACCCACCAAATCTGGAGGGTAGGGAAAGTACCCAGCAGGGTAGGTGTGCTGGGGTGGGTGTAGTTGGTCAGCCCCAGCAGGGTAGGTGTGCTGTCCTGTGGATGTGGCTGGTTGGCCCCAGCAGGGTAGGTGTGTATCCTGTGCATGTGGTTGGTCAGCCCCAGCAGGGTAGGTGTGCTGTCCTGTGGATGTGGCTGGTCGGCCCCAGCAGGGTAGGTGTGTGTCCTGTGTGTGTGGCTGGTCAGCTGGACTCCTCAGCCCTCCATGTCCTACCTACCCTTGTGGCTTTCATGTCCCTAGACAAAACACTTTTTCGTTTTTGTTTTTTGGGGTATTTTTTCGAGACAGGGTTTCTCTGTAGCTTTTTGGAGCCTATCCTGGAACTAACTCACTCTTGTAGACCAGGCTGGCCTTGAACTCGTAGAGATTGGCCTGTCTCTGCCTCCTGAGTACTAGAATTAAAGGTGTGCGTCACCACCACTCAACGACAAATCATGTGACTTCTTGAAGACACTCTAAATAAAATAACTACAGGACAAGCCAAGCCAGCGCCAGGAATCCGGAGCCCTGTTGATGACATTGGCTGACCACTAGTCCTGTCCCCAGGACAGAGAGGACAAAGCCAGGCCCTTAGCAAGTATCGCAGAGACTACAGATGAATGTGGAACATTCTGTGTCCTCCCTCGGCTCTCTCTCCAGACGACTCTCACACCCCAGCTGAGGAGGAGCCAGTCACCGTACTCAGCAATCAGCCTGCAGATAAATGCAAGCAAAAGTCAAGAGTCTGGAGAAAATGTGCCCTACCTATGGTCCCCCCCCCCCAGGCCACTGGCAGCAGCCATAACTCAGGACATGGCCTCCCAGCACACGCCAAGGCCGGGCATCTGTCTGTGGGATTCAAGGGTCCTGCATAGCAATAAATTCACCCACTTCCCTGTTGAGACCAATAAATCCAGCCGGCTGAATGCTCTGTAACTCAGCTGTGCAGAATTCAACACACTTCTCTGGGGAAGCAAGAACACGCCATGCCGCGAAGGGTCGTCGTGACGTTCCTGCTCTAGCCCCAAGATCCAGGAGACTGTGGTGTGGCCTCAGTCACTCTGGAGACAAGAGACAGCCACAGGCAAGCCAGCGACGGCTGTCACCCCAACTCCACATCCCAAGCCCTCTGGTGGCAAAGATGTCTTATGGGTGCCTGGAGAGACGCCATCTTTGAGATGCTGAAGCAGCCAGCCACTGCTCCAGGCCTTCTAGACCTTTCTCAGTGCTGTGTGACCAATGATACTACCTGCTTCTATGGTGGTTTACAAATGAACACATTTGCGAAGCTCCAGGAAGGGCTGTTGAGTCTGCTTCTCCACACACCTTTGTTAGCGTCAGGTCTGGGTCTCTGGCATTAGCTATGCTCACAGCAAGGCCATGAGGCAGCGCAGACCCAGCCCTCCCTGTGATGAGAGGAAGTCTCCCTCCTGCTCCCACAGCCTTGGCCCAGCCTGTGTCCTGGCCCTCTCTGCTGAAGTCTCCTTCTCCGCCACTTTCTGGCTGTGTGTGGCTTTTCTGCATGGCCCTTGGGCTCCATCCTGGCCTCCATGGACACACCTTCCACAGTCCCCAGAGGGGACTGGAGAGGTGGCCACCCTCTCTAGCTCTCCACTTCTTGGCGCTCTCCCTGTCCATCCATCTGTCTGACTTCCCATGCACCCTGCAGTGACCCCTTTCAGTGCTTTGCACCCTCCTCCTTGGGGTTTGGGTGCATGGGTGTGACCTGAGCTCATGGCCACCCCTGGGTACAGAGGGGGAGGCAGGACAGTTGTGCAGGGGCTCTACACACAGCTGTGGGAGGCAGAGGCAGGGGCGGCCCGGGAATGAGGAGTGGCATTAAATAGCAGAGTAGACTGAGGCAGAGGAGAAGCCACGGGGCACAGAGTTCTGAGCCTGTGCAGAACCCAGAAAAGAGTGGATGTGGGTCAGAAGGAGAGAGGAAACCTCCAGGAAGTCCCAGATCTCAGGGGGGAACAAAAGGGCCAGGATAGAGGCCCCAACGTCACAGGAAGACTGGTGGCGGTGGATTCACGTGATTGGGAGAACAAGGAGGGGCGGGTGCTGGAGGAGGGTAGGTGTGACCTTCCTCTCTGTGGGAGGAAGGAGTGAGAGAGCCAAGAAGGGGAGTTAGGGCAGCCACCTTGAAAGCATGCGGAGCAGGCTGAGACTTGCAGGACAAGAATAAGGGCGGAGGCTGCCCAAGAGCCTGCCCTCAGACTATCAGACACCGTCAGGGTCCTGCTGAGAGGACAATACAGGGGCCACTGGGGTCTGGGACAACCCTTGGCAACACAACAGAGGCTACTTCCCCAGCCAGGGCTGCTTTCCTCCTCCTCCTCTTCTCCTCCCTCCCCCTCCTCCTCCCTCTGCATCTTTCAGAAAGAAAAACTAAAACTGCTGAGTCCTTGCTCTGCTCCAGGGCTGGGAATGTTCCTGGGTCGTTTCCATGGCAACCCATGGACCTGCTTCTTCCTTTTGGCTCAAAGTGTTCAAGCCTGGAGCATTCTCACCTCACCCTAAGGGCTAGCCATGAACACAGCCAGGTCTCGCGATTTCCAGATGTGGTTTAGGCTCTAAAAACCTCTGACTTCCTCAGTAACTTCAGTGCCCACGCCCCTCTCTGCTGGCCTCTCCCCTCTCCCTGCTTCCCCCACTTTCTTCCCCCACATCTCTCTCCCTCCCCCCTCTCTCTCCCTTCCCCTCCCTCCCTCCCCCCTCTCTCTCCCTCCCCCCTCTTCTCCCCACCCCTCACACACACATTTTATCTTCTGATGCCCAAGTGGCAGTCCCTCACTCTTAGAAGGGACTATAGAAAATCTCCAGATCTTACCTAGCACGCCACACTCCTTCCGCAGCTGTTACAGGTTGTGTGGTCGACTGGTCCAGTTTTCTATGTCTGTGGTCACGGGCACCGTTCTCTCTCCTCTATAAGTTGTTTCAAAGCCCAGAGTTGGTTTCAGTGGACCCAGTGTAGAAGCGTGTTTTCCGTTTCACCACGCACCATGGAACTTGTAAGTGTCCTAAGAGCCCCCACCCCCGTATCTCCAGACTTCTCTCTTCCTCGCAGGCACATGCCCTAGTTTATGGAACCAGTACTCTGTTATGAGCTTATTAAACAAACTGCTTCCCTGCCCTCCTTCACAACTTGAGGATACGTTTTCCAGCTGTCTATTCTGAGGTCATTGCTGACCCAGCCCATCACATGGGCTACCCTGCTCTGTTCCTCCCACAGGCAGAACTCTCCCCCGGGGCCTTTGTTTCTCGGGCCTGGGTCATCATCCTCTCCTGTCCCAGTTCCTTCTCTCTAACGAGGCCTTACCTGCCTCCTCTGCAAGCCACATTTTTGCCACTTTGTTTTGTGTGACAGCCTTACGGTCAGCCCAAGCTGGCCTAGGACTCGGCCAGTCTCAACCTGTGGCTCTAAAAACCTCCAGCTTCAGCCTCCTGGATGCTGAGCTCACAGGAGTATGCCACTGGTCATGGCCAAGTCCACTTTCTTGCTCCGTTAATCCATGTGTCCCTTGACTATGGCCTCCCTCCTCCAGGGAGCACGATCAGCTTTCAGCCCAGTCTGCCTGTCGTGTTGCGCTTCTCAGTGATCATGAAGAGGCGGGGATAACGTTTTTCCGGCTGACCTCTCCATGAAACTAAGCACATGGCATGATGCCTGCCATGCCAAAAGTGTTCAGTTGATAGTGGAGTAGTATTCGGTCATAAAAAGGAGGGCGGTTCAAAACCTCTAGGCTCAGGGAAAGAAGCCAGACACAAAAGGCCACGGATGATGGAACATCATTTACATGAACTGCCTGGAACAGGCAAATCTGGGGAAACGGAAAGCAGGCAGGAGGCTGGGGAGGCCGGGAGAAAGGACAGAGTGACAGGTGGCCTTCTGCAATTGGGTGGTAGAGACAGTTATTTTCAGTTTCATAAGGTTGTCAAAAACCTTGGGCTTGTTTTCTTCAAGGGCAAAGTTTATGTGTATGGTCTATATTTCAATAACAGCATCTTTATGGAGTCCCTCCATTTATACCTCAGCAGCAAGGCTTCACACAGGATCAGTTGGCAACAGTGAGCAGCCTTGCGTTGGGAGTTACTCATCACCAACCTCAGGTCCCGTGGCTCAGGGCATTGGCAGTCTGCTGCCAGTTCTCCCAGAAACGAAAGAGCATTTCTTCTTCCAGGTCCGCTCTGCCCTCTGCAGAACAAGGGAATTTTCAGAACAAAGTCAGGCGAATGGGTAGCTTAGGAGGACTCTCTCAGGTGCTGTAGGCGGGTGAGGAGGTTTGCCGTTGAGGTACCCCAGACACATGGCAGCAGCTAGGCCATAGCATGGTAAAAGATGCTGTATCGAGAGCCCTGGGATCGACTGGAGATGTCTGACCCCGTGTCTGTTCCAGGTACATACGTGATGACCGTGACAGCCAACGATGCCGATGACAGCACCACGGCCAACGGCATGGTGCGGTACCGGATTGTCACCCAGACACCCCAGAGCCCCTCCCAGAACATGTTCACCATCAACAGTGAAACCGGGGACATCGTGACAGTGGCAGCAGGCCTAGACCGGGAGGTAAGATGGGCCGTGGGCCTCATGGGAGCAGCAAGCGCGACGATCCAAATGTACAGTTAGGCGGTCAGGGATCCAGGTGGTGTTCAGCGTCGGCTCCTGCCTGTGCTGCAGGGAGACAGACCCAATGCAGCGCTCACCCCGCTGCTTTGGACAAGTGGCCAGCTGACACCTCATGAAATCCCCCAGAGCAGGCCAAGTGGTGCAGCAACACCTCGGGGACTCAGAAAAGCCAGGATGAACCCCCTCGTTCTAGGGATCCTGCCAGCATTGTACTCTAGATCTAGGGTCCTTGGAAGCCTGCCTCCCTGAGCTGTCTAGACATGCTCGACCACAAGTGAGTAACTGTGTGCCCCCCAGGACATAACGTGCACAAGAGGGTGTTCCTGGGAGCCCCACTGAGCACAAACGCACCCACAACCGCGGGGTTCCTATGTGGAAGTGTGGCTGCAGCTTCCTAGCTGTACTGTCTTGGTGGCCGGGCTGTCCCTGTCTCAAGTTTCCGAAAGCTCCACAGCCTCAGCCTCAGCCTCTGGGCCTGCAGGGACTTCACCACAAGCCTGGGCTGCTCAGCTGTAACTAGCAGCTTGTGGTGACAGGCCATGGGAACAGGCTGGTAAGGAAGTGGCGGGTCTCTTCCCTAGGAGTTCTCACGTCTAGGGGGTCTGGCAGGTCTGAGAGCTAAGGGGCACCTGAGGCCTTCAATTCCTATCTTGACTCTAAAGCTCAGAGGTCTCTGGAAAACTCAAACTACTCCGGCCATCTAAGTTGTAAGAGGCAGTGCACAGGGTGGTACTTGGACAGTGACCCTTTGTAGCTATGTGACAAGGAAAGAAGGGGTGATGGCCTTGGGGACAGGATGGGTTGGACTGTCTCCAGGCATTTGTGAACTGTGAAGCAGGTAGTGGTAACAGTTAGCACAGGACACAGCCAGAGCCAAGGCACTACCTGGCCCAAGAAGCCATTTGTCACCACAGAAGCAGCAGGCTATGTGACAGGCCATAGAGGGCCATTTCTCCACCACACCCACCACCCCTGCTCCAGCTAGGCACGAACATGGCCAAATCTAAAGGACCACACCAAGGTTCCTCCTCGTCATCTCTCCTGGCTTAGGGGAGGGTACCACGGACAGGTCCCTCCTGCACCCACTTCCTGCTCAAGGCAGTGAGCTATCCTTATGACGCGGGAAACCCACAGGCATGGTTGCTGTGCATCTAATTAGGAGAGCTGTATGAAGTGAGCGCTTCTGCATGATTAAATGTCAGGAGAAACTCAGAAGGGCTCAAGTGGCTCTCGGGTCCCTGCCCCACCTGCTAATCCCGCTCATCTTCCCATGTCCCCTAATTAGAATATTTATGGCCTAATAAGAAGATTGAGCGCCACTCCTAGCTGCTCTGAAGGTGAGAGCCAGGCTTTGGAAGCAGCAGGGGGTTTTGATTGCTTAGCTTCATGATTAGCATCTAGCCATACTGTGTCCACACGTGCCATGCTGTCCTCCATGAGGCTGATTTCACTGTCACGGGCTCCATCCAGTTCAGGTCCCACCACATGGTGACCATATCCCAGGGTTGGAAAAGACCTCAAGGAAATCCAAACCAGCCCCCTCCTGTACTTGTTTAAACTCATGTCAGATGGAAAGCTCTGTTCCCTCCAAAACAGGAGGAAAGAGTGAAGGGGGCAGCACAGAGCAAACCCCACACAGGGGCTGTCAGCTGCCCAGTCTCTGCTTTCCACTGACCAAATGTCTCCTGACTCAAGAGTGGGGTGCACGCAGGCATGGGCCCCTTGTTCTCTCGGGCCGCATGGAGTACAGCTCCCAGGGTCCCAGCCAGGCTGTGCAATCGGATCCATGCAGAAACGAGCTTTTTCTGCGGTGACATCAATTGATTGTTTTTTCTTATCACAAAGGCTACTTCTCTTTGATAGAAAGGAAGGAAATAGCAGGCCTGCATCCCACAGTGTGGTGCGGGAGGCATGATGTGAGGCAGGCTGTGGCTTTCCCCAAGCCTCGGGTGCTTGCCTGTCCCGTGTTCCTGCAAATGATCCTTGAAGCCACTGTAGCACTGAGTGGCATTGCCCATGCCCCTACACACCAGGGTCTATCCTCTGCCTTCACAGACTCCCCTGTTCCCCTTCCCTTTTCTCTGTCCCCATCGGTGCACAGCAGACAGCACAGAGGTCAGATGGGTGTTTTAACTGACATCATGAAGCTCCTGAGTTATGGACAGGACAGGTACTTACGGGTCCAGAGACAAGACGCCCCCAGGCCCAGTCAGCTCTGCTGCAGAGCCACGGTTCACTCACTCTGCCCTCCTCTATTGCCACGTGCGAAAGTCAACACACTAAGGAAAGGCAGCTGTCCCTTCTGTGGCCTCTTGTGACTGTGAGCATCCCTTGAGGATACCCTGCAAACATCTTCAGCCTGATGATTGGTGACAGGTCCCCACCTGAGCCCAGGCCAGCTGCTGGTCAGAGTGTAAATACCACCTGAGCCCAGGCCAGCTGCTGGTCAGAGTGTAAATACCACCTGAGCCCAGGCCAGCTGCCGGTGAGTGTAAATACCACCTGAGCCCAGGCCAGATGCTGGTCAGAGTGTGAACACCTCCTGAGCCCAGAACAGATGCTGGTCAGAGTACAGGCAATCGTGACAGGCTGGAGCCACCAGGGTATCACCTCCCTGTGGACAGGCCCACTGGCATTCCTACAGTCTGAGGCCGACTGGCATGCCTACAGCCTGAGGTTCTGACATTGCCAAGCACCGTAAGCTCTGAAGAGTGGCAGGAGAGTCATAACCCACAGCTATCTGGCCTCAGAGCAGACAAAGCAATGCCTAGGAGAAGACAGGGGCCAGGAGTCAGAGGGGAAGACCAGCCCAGGGTCTAAGGGACAAATAATGCACTAGAGATCAGGTCCCTAGATGACAGGGAAGGCTGAGCTATGGGGGCATACTACTGAGCTGCAGGTCCCCAGGGTTACACCTACCCAGAGGATCCAGAGAACCCTTGTACCCATGAGCCTGCAGGCTCCCAGGGCTACAGAATTCTCAGCAGCACCCAGGCCACACACAGACAGGGTGTCATCTTGGCTCTCAGCACCCTCACAGTGGAGAGGAGGGAAGGGTAGAAAGTCAACTGGGAGGGAGTCCCCAGCAGCTGGGAGCTAAATCACCAAACTGGGCTGGATCAGTGTCAAAGAGACAGGGGTAGCTCTGTGGGATGACTGCGCCATGGCCCCCTCCTCAGTCAGACACATGTTGAGGATCATGGCTCAGCCTGCATGGGGCTACTTCAACTCCATTCAAGGTCCTTCCTACCCTAAGACCCCAGTCAGTGAGTCAACTGTTGTCCAACTGTCCCCAGAGCCCACCAGGTTGGCACAGATGAGGACAGACAGACCTAACATCACCAAATAAAAGAGCCAACCCAAGATGCAGGCCAGCAGAAACTCTCTGGGCCAGGATGGAGAGACCCCAGCAGCTTGAGGCTCAGGATCCCTGGAGTCATAGGCTAACCACAGCCCTGGTCACAGTCACTTAGCATCCATGCTGGACTGGATGGTGGCCCCAAACATCCATCTTCACCCAGTATCTGGAGGCCAGAAGCTTCATTACCCTTTATGGAAAAGCATTTTTGCAGATGTGACATCAGGACCTGGAAGGGCCGTCTGGACTCAGGTGCACATAGATCTACAAACTGGGCTCCAGTACGAATCATGCGGAGGAAGATTTGAGGCAGACACAAGGAAGACAGCTACCAGGCAGTGGGTGGAAGGGAAGCAGAAAGAGGTCTGAGGAAGAGAAGGGTCACGGAAGGAGGGAAAGTGAGACCAGATCACGTAATGGAGTCAGCACAGGAGGACGGGAGGACATTTGTTTTTACCATGTCCCACACTAGAAACACTGCCGCTTAATCCACCAGGAAAGCTGCCCAGAAAGCCAGGATGTGGGTTTATCTCACTCTGGGTTTCTGGTCGGTTCTTACTGAAGCCCCACCCCCAGCAGCCTGCTCAGGCATAAACAATACTCCAGCTATCTCCATAGCCCGGTGAGTACACCCCAAAACTATCTCCACAGCCCAGTGAGTACACCCCAAAACTATTTCCACAGCCCAGTGAGTATACTTCAAAACTATCTCCCCAACCCTTGTTGCCACAGACCGAGTCCCTGCCAAGAGGTGGCAGCCCCATCTCTCAGGGCTATTTCTCTGGCATCTGGCCTTCCAGTTTGGGAGCTTTTCTGTGCCTTTTTGTTCTTCCCAGATGACCCACCTGAGCTGGCCTTGCAGGAAACAGGGCTGAGGTTTTCCTTAAGAGAATCTGGCTTGTGGACATGAAGGACACATAGATGGAGAGTCACACTTCAAGCAGTTACTAACCATGACATACTGTGTGTGTGTGTGTGTAGTGTGGGGTGTGTATGTGTTTGTGTGTGTAGTGTAGGGTAGGTATAATGTGGGTGTGGGTGTGTGTATGGTGTGGTATGTGTGTGCGTTGCCTCTGCTGTGGCTGCATTAAGGCCCTCAGACAGCACTAGAGAGAGGTAGGACAAAATGCCCATGGTAAAGGCGTAGGTTGCCATGTGGGGCCCAAGAGGAAGCTCTGCAGAGCATTGTAGAGACAGAAGAGCCTCTCTCTGGCCATCTCAGGGAAACTTTTTGCAGTACTGGAAACTGACCCCAGGGCCTTGCCTGTGCTGAACCAGAGCTCCACCACGAAACTGTGCCCCAAACCAGGAGTTTTCATCACTGGCTCTGCAGGAAGACATCCCAGCAGAGCAGTATATGGTGATGGATGCACGCTCAGGAGCAGGGCTGCCTGCAGGACGCCACCCCCGACAGACCCAGAACATCCAGGCACTTCCAAAAATACCCACAAATATTCAGACACGTCCAGACGTGTCCAAAAATGTACAGGACACATTCAGAAACGTGTGACATGTCATCGGCAAGGACATCTGCGGGGGAGGGGGGGTCCAGAACTTTCCAGACACCGTCTCCCTACAACCTCCACTTGGCAGCAACTCAGAAGAAACAAGGCCAGAAAAGCTTGACACTCTCCTTCCCTTTCCAAAGATGGTAATAAAACCATAGAGACTGTCTTAGCTGTCTTCC